GAGAGAGAGAGAGAGAGAGAGAGAGAGAGAGAGAGAGAGAGAGAGAGAGAAGGGAAGAGGAGGTTGGGAAGGAGACAGAGAAGAAATTAAAATAAGCTACATTCTACTTTATTCAAACTCTGTTTTATATATACTATACACACACATACATATTTATTTACATAAATAAAAGATAAACATTAACATATATAAAGAGAAATTAGAAAATGTATTTTAAAAGTGTGAAAAGCAGCTAAGAAAAAAGAAATGTAAAAATGTTACTTTCAATTTTTGCAGCAGTTACAAATAAACTAATTATCCCTCCTCCTCTTTATTATTACATTACAAAGTTTTCTTCTATCCTGTATTCAATCAGTTTTTCAATCAGCAAATCAAGGAATCAATATTCCACTTTTTTCCCCCATTTTCAATAATATGTTGCAAAATAGATTTCCAATTGGTACCTGAAGTAATCTTCCCTGACCCAGAAATGTTTGGTCATATTTATCCCCATCTTCAACCTATACTTTTTCTGGACAGTTGTTGAGAAAGTGACAACTTAATTTCAATTTTGAGAAATTTAATTATTTTGAGATCCAATCAAGGAATAGAAATGATGTCAGTCACTAGTGGATGAAGTTTGTCATGACAGGGATAAAGAAAGAGGTCCTCCTGGTTCTTCTGGCTACCCCATGGTCGAATGTTCTCCTCCATGCTCTTTCTCATCCTGCTGTATGAAACCATTGGAGGGGGTCATCTGTTGTGTAGGATGAGATTTGTTTATTTATTTTATTTGTATGCTGCCCAATGTCTCTGATGACATTCAGGTATGCATTACCAAACGGAAAATGGCTTGAACCAATGTCTATCAGATAGAAAAGAAAACCCAATTAAATGCCTCCAAACCAAGTCACTCATCAGTAAACATCCAGAAACATTGTGCCCCACAAAAGACTTGGGGCATGAGTTAGGGGTCTTCATGGAAACTGTGGCTAGGGTTCGTATGGCAGTCAAAACCTCTTTGGCCCAATATGGTCAAGATTGATCATTCATGCTTTGAGAATCACTTGAATGTAATGAACTCTAAGTAGGGCAGGCTTTGGAGACCACCTGGAAACCATCTGGTTTAGAATGCAGCTGCAAGATTAATGGTGAGTCAACCCTGCCATGGCAGGATAACACCTTTCTTGAAACCACTGCATTGGAGCCCACTAGTCTTCAAGACCCAACTCAAAGTACTGGTAACCTATAAAGTTCTGTAAGACAGCACCATGTTACATTCAGTTTTACTTGCAAATATTGAATCCGCCTCTTCAGAAAAAAAAATCCTAGAAAAACCTGTTAAGAATCATCCCACACACATACACACACACACACCTGAATTGTGGAGGAGGCATGGATGAGATGATAGGCTTTCTCTGCAGCAGTGCCCACACCTTGGAATTCTTAACCCGCAAAGATCTGTAAAGCTCCATCTTTAATAATCTTAAGAAAACAATGAGTGAGTTTGGAAGCTCTAGCATGGGTGTGTATGTCCCATTGTTTGTGTTTTATTGCGCCTCAATGGTTTCTGTTTTAATGTAATTATTTTTGTTTGTGTTTGTCACCCCAGTTTCTTGGTTATATGGCTGGTCATATAAATTGGATGACTGACTGAATGAATGAATGTTACCATTTAAAGAGACTAGAAGACTCAAAAATCAGGATGAAACGGATTTTTACCAAAGTTGGAACAAATTTTACAGATGGTGGGGGGAAAAGCATGGAAGTTATTGTATGAGATAAGTTAAGATTGTGATTAGGGTGATGTTATTTGTATAGGTTTTTCTCACTAGTAATTAATGGTGAATAGTGAATCGAGATGTATGTCAAATCTGATTTACCATGTTCAATGTTTTTAACTTTTGTATTCAATAAAATTTAAATAAATTAAAAAAAAGATATTTTTATTACACTGTGCCTTAAATCTTAGCTTGATTTTTATAGATTTTATAGACATCCATCTTAGGACAGGTTGATTTATTATTACTGTTTTTTTAAAAAGTTTGGCTCATTTCCATTATTGATTTTGTAATTTTAATCTGTTGCATTTTATCTAGTTCATGATCTGTTGAGTGGGCAAGATATAAAAAGCTGCAAAATAGACACATATATACATGTCATATTATAAAAACAATTTCTTAACCTTCATTCTTCTCCAGGCTCCTTTAACTTCTTTGTTTCTTAAAACATAGATAAGGGGGTTCAGCATGGGGATCACAACAGCATAAAACACAGAAATTACTTTGTCATAGTTCAGAGAATGAGAAGAGCTTGGTTGCACATACATGAAGAAGAGGGTGCCATAGAAAATCACAATAGCAGTCAGGTGGGAGGCACAGGTAGAGAAGGCTTTGTGTCTTCCGCTAGTAGAATGGTTTCTAAATATGGCATTCAGAATATAGATATAGGAGATGATGACTGTGAAGAGGGACCCAGTTAAATTGATTGTACTCAAGGCAAAAAGCTGGATTTCTTTTGTCTGAGTGTCAGAGCAGGATAAAGCTAGAAGTGGTGGGTCATTGCAGTAAAAGTGGTTAATTACATTTGGACCACAGAAGGATANTAGCTATAGACACCAACTACCAGGGAAACACAGCACTTTTTCGACATAATTCTGGAATAAAGCAATGGATGGCAAATGGCCACATATCGATCATATGCCATGACTGAGAGCAAAAACAATTCAGTGGTCACCAATGCAACAAACATAAAAAATTGTATAAGACATCCAGCCCATGAAATGGTTTTCTTGTCAGCTAAAATATCTGTTATTGCCTTGGGGGTAACAGTTGAAGAATAGCTGGCATCCAGGAAGGCCAAATGGCCGAGAAAGAAGTACATTGGAGTATGTAGCTGGGGATCCATCTTGATCAACAGGATCATCCCTAGATTTGCACTCAGTGTGATGATATAAATCATCAAGAATATATTAAAGAGAACGACTTGTAATTCTGGATGATCTGTGAATCCTGAAAAGATGAAATCCACCACCTGGGTCTGATTTTGTCCAGTCATATAGTCCTGCCTTTTTTTTCCTGCCAAGGGTTTGAAGAAAGGAAGAAGAAATCAAGATTACTATATTGTTGTTCATTCACTTTTCATGTTTACTGGATTATTTTAAAATAAATATTTAATGTTTGTTGATCTGAAAAGTGGACCCTGAACATGTGGGAATAACACTAGGAAGATGAGGATGGTTTAAATATGCTTCACTGAAGTTTCATATTCAAGCTCACTCACTTTATTATTGAATTTGAGAGCCAGTTTGGTCTAGTGGTTAAGGTACGGTACCAGTCTAGAAACCAGGAGACTGTGAGTTCTAGTTCTGCCTTAGCCATGAAAGCCAGCTGGGTGGGTGACTTTGGGCCAGTCACTCTTTCTCAGCCTATCTCACCTCACAGTGTTGTTGTGGGGAAAATTGGAGGATGAAGACGTGTTGGATATGTTTGCTGCTTTGAGTTATTTGTAAAATAATAAAGGCAGGATATAAAAACAAACAAATAATACAATTTCCTCTAAATCAAATAACATTTGATTTTCATATATTCATACTCTTTTGAATTGAAAACTGAAAAGAAAACATTTGGCTGGCACAATCTTGTCCCAGTGTAGTCATATTGCCCTTCACAAATCTGGTTCATTATCATCATTATTGTACCCTTTCAATTAGACTTCTGTTAACACTTTCCAAGGCATATTTAACAAACTTGTCTATAGCAGTTGCATCCATTCTTTCTATCTTTCCTTTGTATAAGAAATAATAATTCTTTCAATTTTCAGGCAGAGACACAGCCTCCGCACACATTAATTAAATCTCATAGTCATTTTGGAAACAATCGACACCCATATTTTAACAATTTTTGAATTATACCATTCATATTTGCAGTCGGTAGAACAAATATTAGAACTGGCAGTGAAAATATTGGTGAATAGCTTCTGCCTTTTAGGATCACCCATCAACAGTAAACTAACAGGCAAGCATTAAAATCCAGACTAGCACTTGGTAGAGCATCCTGAAGGCTTTGGAAAAGAATATGCCTACAATATAATACCTACCTACCGTGGTAGGTAAGTAAGACCTACCCTGAAAATAAGCCCTAGCTTGATTTTTGGGGATGGGCCTAATATAAGCCCTACCCCCAAAATAAACCCTAGTTTTGGGGCAAGCCACACACCTAAAAATCAAACTAGGATGGGGATGGGGGAGATGAAGTTGCCCTACATGCCCTGCACCCATTTACTTTGCAGCCAGCCCTCTCCTTGCCAGCCCACTTCTTCTCCAGTGTCCACAGGCCTGCATTTTGCAATCAAGGCTTTTCCGGAAGGCCACTGCAGCCAAGAACCGAGGTATGGATTGAATCCATTGCTTGGCTATTGGCTGCAGAGGCCTTCTGGAAAAGCCTGACTGTGAAATGCAGGTCCGAGCTCCATTCTGAGCTGTGGAATGAAGCTGCTCCTTCGGCCACAGAAGAACTGGGCCTGCTGGGAGAGGCTGTCAGAGGCAAAAAAAATAAAAATAAGACCTGGTTTTATTTTTGGGGAAACATGGTATATTCCTACAAAATACTACAAGCCGTATTATTCTCTTGTGACATTGTATGGAATGAAAGTTGGACTTTGAAGAAACAGAATAAGCAGAATATTTGATGCTTTAATTTTGGTATTGGAAGTCTGAGAATGCCATGGACAGCCAAAAAAACCCCCAATGAATCAACAAATTAATCAAGAATTCTCATGTAAGGCATAGATGATCAGTCTCAAATTATTGTATTCTGGATACAATCTTATACAAAAACCAAGTTGCATAGAGAAGGCTCTAATGCTGGGAAAGTTTGAAGGAAAGACAGAAGGCCTTCTTTACCTTGACATTGATTGCTGCCCTCCAGGACCACAATGTTTTTACCGATTCACCTGTGAAACAATGAACAGACAGGTTTTGTTTTTCCTCCAGATGTTCTGAGGGAAGGGTGTACGGATATACTGATGGCTGTTTAAAAAATAAAAAGGTGAAATTGACAAGGCTGTGCTATTTTCTCCTTCCAGGACTACGTGCAACTAAAATGTACAAAAGAGTCATCACTAAATGTTAATTTTTGCTTTTGCTAGTATTATTAAAAATTCCTGAATTATTGCAGCTTTTTTTTTAACTTTCTGATAATTTAAACACTACCTATATATATATATTTCAGAAGCTGGAGTAAGTTGATTTCACATTTCATGTATATGAAATATAAAAATGAGCAAATCAGTGGTAGAAAGCAGCAATAGTATATGTATTTTAAAAATGCTCTTAAGAGCCTACCTGATTAGTCCAATGTTGCCTTGAAGCACAGTTGTTATCAAGAATTTATATAGGAAACACCATAATTATATACAGTATTGCAGTTGGTTTAATGATTTTCTCCCTTGATAGTGGTTAAGCATATTTACTAACAAGCAGTGACTGAAGGAAAAATGGAAACAGAAAACAGCCAGACACCATTTTCCTACTAAGTGGAACCTATGATGATGTTCTCCTGTATCTGACTTATTTTTGAAAGATCTCTGCCTAGCTCAGTAAAACAGCAGCTGCCTCCATTTGGGCTGCACATTAGTGCATAGAATGCAGACACTGACAGAGATAACTGGTCTCATTAAATACTATTCTGTATAAAAAACCTCCCTGAAAATAAAAAATTGAATAACAGAAAATACCTTTTAACTTTGTATTGACCCCAGTATGCTAGAGTTGTACTTTCTGAGATGCCAAGATGTTCAGAAGCAAACATTGTTCTTTGTTCTCTTTTCATATATCATTTGCTGATGTTGACAACTGCCTTTACTGGGATCTAAAGTTCAAGGAATGAATCTTTCTGCACACAAAAGTTTTACCTTTGATTCTCTTAGGAGCCATAGAAGAGCAGCTGCCTAATTAATTAAGAAGGGCAGATAAAGTGCAGGAAGATGGAGTTAAATCTTTTGGAGAAGACCAGATCCTATACAGCAGGCGTGTCCAATCCATAGCTTGCAGGCCACATGCAGCTCTGGACAGTTAGTAATGTGGCCCCACAACTTTTAACATCATTATGTGCTTTTTAGTGATTTTTTAAAAGTGATACTATATTATATATTTTGTATGTGGCTCAAGACCTTCATTTAATGAGGCCCAGGCAAGCCAAAAAGTTGGACACCCATGCTATATAGCAGGGGTGTCAAACCTGATTTCATTGAGGGCCGCATCAGCATTGTGGTTGTCCTTGGGAGGCCAAGTGGGTGTGGTTGGGTGGGTATGGCTGACTGGGTGGGCGTGGCTGGCTCGATGTCGCTTGCATTGGGGGGCACCTGTGGGGGGCCAGGCGGGGCTATGGAGGGGATTTGGGGGTCTCTGGCAGAGGGGGATGGGACTAGGCAGGTGCCGGGGTCTGGTCCACCAGAGAAGCCTCACTATCCCTCTCAGCGTGGGCTACCCAGGACCCTGGGCAGTAGGGGGAGCAGGCATCTGGCCTGGCCCTCAAGCTCCCAGAGGCCGGGACCCTGCAATCCAGCCTAGCTCTGCTTCCCAGGCGATGCCCGGCCACACACGGGGCAGCTCCAGGGCTGGGCTCAAGCAAAGTGGGAATGGGAGTCCTGGCTGCCTCTTGGGGATGGGGAGCTCCCCACCCTTCCCATTTGCTGGGGCTGTCGAGGGTGTGGTGGCGGTTGGGAGGCTCATCCCATATGTGCAGCAGAGCTGGAGGATGAAGTTGTATGGCGGGGGCCAAGCCTTTTATCTATTATGTGTCTCCTTTTTTCCATGCTTTTTGCCTTTTGCCACCCGGACATGTTAGAAAACTGGGAGTTGCAATAATTTCTGCAGGAAGCATATCTGATTACAGAATGGGAATGCATCATAGAGCTTCCACAATTCAAAGCAAGCTTTCCTAATAAGCAGTCATACATGACAGCCATGGCAGATAAGAGAAGGTCACCTCCTGTTTTTGGAGAAAAAGCAATAAGAGATAAAACTGGAAGATAGCAATAAATCTCAATAACATTATGTATTCCTCCTGTGTATCATCCTATAAGGAATAAATTCATTAAAAATAGCCAAGGATTCAAATAACTTGTTTAGAAAGGTACATTCTAAGTGTACATAGCAGAAACAATTCTGTTGAACAGAAAGAATGACAATTTGTTTATGGAATATAAATTATAGGTAGTCCTCGATTTACAACCACAATTGAGCCCAAAATGTATGTTGCTAAGTGAGACATTTGTTAAGTGAGTTTTGCCCCATTTTATGACCTTTCTTGCCACAGCTGTTAAGTGAATCAATGCAGTTGCTAAGTTAGTAACATGGTTATTAAGTGAATCAGGCTTCCCCATTGACTTTGCTTGTCTGAAGGATTGCAAAAGCTGATTATATGATCCTGGAACACTGCAACCGTCATAAATATGAACCAGTTGTCAAGAATCCCGATTTTGATCACATGACCAGGGGATGCTGCAATGTTCGTAAATGTGAAAAATGGTCATAAGTCATTTTTGTCAGTGCTGTTGTAATATTGAACAGTCACTAAATGAACTGATGTCAGCGGAGGACTACCTATATCCTTTGAGAATCTTAAAATACTTTGAAAAACATGAGTTTGTGTAAGCAGTAACACAATATCAAAAGGGAATAAAACCTTCCGTCCACCTTCTTGCCAATCTTAACACTCCCAAGAATGCTTCTGTGCCCTACTGTACTAAATTCATCTTTCTCTTGATGCACCTTCTGACATGTTTTTGTTTGCAGTCTGCGTTAAGAACTTGTCTGTTTTAAATATTCTTTAAAATTTGAAAATTACATATTTTAAAAGTCACTATTCACAATATGTAGATCTACTTATAACCCCAAGCATACAGTATATTATTAATGCTCTTTTTATTTTATATACAATAATGCCAATGATGATTTGGGTCAAGGCCTTCTGAGTTTGATCATTCTTGAATCAGAATTCTTATACAATATTTAGAGAAACCAGCTATTTAGCAGATACCAAGAACGATGTTAAGGGTCAACTTAATCTAAAGAAGTTTCATCCTGATTGCAAATAAAACAATTTAATTTATTTTTCTTCAGTGTCTCTGCATCTCAATAGTACAAATTAATTGTGAGCTTGCAATTCCATTTCAGTTGCTTTACAGTTTACCTTCCCTTAATTTCAGAGACTGGAATATTAATAGTTGATAAGAAGAGGCAACAGTTAGAAAAGGTTAGTGCCACATCACAGTGGCTGAAGGGGGGAGGTTCCATGCAGTATCTGATAGGGCATAGGGCTATTGAAATGCAAAGCTGTTAATTCTAGAAGTAGCTATGTGATCAAGCAGAAGCCACTGAAATTAACGGACTACAAACACCTGTTCCATCTTGTCAGCATTCAAGTACCTGAATGAACTTTGCTTCATACCAGCTCTATCACGAAACATTTGAATGAAGATCACGGGGACTTCTTTCTTGATTGTGGCTTAGCAGCTGCAGCAACCACAGGTTCTTAGTTATGGCTACTTCAGCACTTCATGATTCTTAGACCAGTAGCAAGTCAATGGCCTACCCATTCATCTCACAAGGACTAGAGATGTTGCTTTCTCTTCAGGGTTTCCTCTTATGTTAGACTTATTATTTTATGATGCAACGGGTTTCTGAGCTGTGGCAAATATGCACAGAACATGGGCTGTTAAAGAAATTTTTCACAGCTAACCACAGAGTGAAGCAATTGAGGCCAGATTGCATTTCTTATGAAGAATGAGTACATTGCATTTGAAATGGACAGACAGTTTTTCACACTACGAAATTGTACAGTTTTCTTGTGGCTTATTTTTCTCTCGAATATTTGGCCCATGTGCCCACTATTGGATATGTCAAGGCCAAGCATTGTTAGCAAGGCATCTCATTATTAAAAAAACATTTCCTCCCCATCACCTTTTTCAAGGCTTCCTTCACTTCTTTGTTTCTCAAGCTATAGATAAGGGGGTTCAACATGGGGATAACAACAGCATAAAAAACTGACACCACTTTGTCATAACTGAGGGAATGAGTGGAGCTTGGTTTCAGGTACATGAAGAAGAGGGTGCCATAGAATATGATGACGGCAGTCAGGTGGGAGGCACAGGTGGAGAAAGCTCTGTTCCTTCTCCCAGAAGAGCATTTTCCAAAGATGGTGCACAGAATGTAGACATAAGAGACAATGATTGTAAAGAGAGAACTACTTAAATTGATACCAGACAAGACTAAAAGCTGGATTTCTTTAGGTCGTGTGTCAGAGCAGGACAAGGCTAACAGTGGAGGGTCATTGCAGTAGAAATGATCAATCATGTTTGATGAGCAGAAAGAGAGTGTAAAAGTTAATGCTGTTTGAACCACTGAGCTCACAAAGCCATATATATACACACTGGTCACTAATACGGTGCACAACTTCTTCGACATAACAACAGAATAAAGCAGTGGGTTGCAGATGGCTACATAACGGTCATATGCCATGACAGACAGTAAGAATAATTCAGTCATCACCAAACCATCAAACATGTAAAACTGAATAGCACACTCAATCAAGGAAATGCTTTTCTTTTTGGCAAAAAAGCCTGCCATTGCTTTAGGAGTAACAGTGGAAGAATAGCTGGCATCCAAGAAAGACAAATGGCTGAGAAAGAAGTACATTGGAGTATTCAGCTGGGGATCAATTTTGATCAATAGGATCATCCCTAGATTTGCACTCAGTGTGATGATATAAATAATCAAGAACAGAGCAAACAGAACTACTTGCAATTGTGGATAATCTGTGAGTCCTGAGAAGATGAACTGTGTTACTTGGGTTTCATTTTTCGCATTCATTTATAGTGTTTTTTAATTTTAAAAAACCTGTCAGAGAAAGAAGGGAAAAAGAGCAATCCAAAACAAACTGGAAAAAAGAAGAAAAAATTATAGTTATTTATTTTCTCATTAAATTACAGTACTCACAGAAATTATCATAAATGCAATAAATTGAAATAGAACAAATTCCAAATTCTACTTTATATTTTTAAACATTTAAGTATACATTCAGGATTGTGCATGTTATGTAACTCTGAAAAAATGAAAAAATCCAGTATTTTTGTTGTCCATGGTATATCCTAGGATTACCAGAATTTTAGAACTAGAATGCATGTTGGTGTGCATGAAAGAAATGTACCACTGATTTCTTTGAGATTGAAATGTTGTGAAGCACCAACATTGCATGCTATCTACGTATTAATCGTCATCACTGATCAGTCAAAAATTTATACCAAAAATTTATACAGTACTCTTGAGCAAAGTTCATTACAAAAAACATGTATTTAAAAAACAACAACTCTTAATGATTAGACAGAAAAGGAATCAGGAACAGTGCTGATGTGGTAAACCCATCTTCTTGATCCTCCCCTTGCTCCAGAGCTTGTAAATGTAAAATTACATCAGTTTTATGGCTATTATGACTACTGTTAGATTACCCAGGCTTTACCCTTTTCTATTACAAAAGTTTGCTGTATACTAAGATCATCAAACAGATGTTCTGTCTTCAACTGCTATAATTCTGTTAAATAAAATTCCTAATTTGGGAAAGGAAGAAAGTAAACAGTACAAATGTATTGCTTCCTACAAGTTAGAATAATAATGATCTCATTTTCCACTGATCACTGGCTGGTACAAATATCTGAGCGAGACTTACTGTTTTTAAGCAGTGTAAGCTCCAAATGACACCATATAGTGGAATAAAGGCACAGCACAATAATATACTGCAATTATATCTCATGGGTGTGATCTTTTGAATCCTCAAGACTGATGAAACACAGCAATTAAACTACACTGGGCATCAGGTTATTTTTCTTTACTCCCTTGGAATTTCCTATTTGTCTTTGTTGCTGTCAGATGAATCCCAGAACTCGATAGATGCTTCCTTGGTGGACAAATAAATATTGGAGGTGACAACTTAAGTAAGTGGTACTATGTGTACTTAATCTTTTTCATGCTCTCTGTTGTTCCATTGGGAGTCCCTCACCAAATCAGCACTCCAACTTTAGGATGCCGAAAACACTGAGCATCCTTTTATTCAGAAATTAAATTATTACAGCTTCCCTGTGTGAGACTTTAAACACAGTCCTTATGTCTGTCTATCTTTTCAATAAAGCCAAGGGGCATTTCCATATGGTACTATTTTCAGTCCTTCTAAAAAGTTGAAAGTATGATTTCTAGCTAGAGAGGAGGAGCATCCTCTGGCTCCCTTCAATTAAATAATGTTTTATAGGTCCTAAAATGTGTGGCTTTTCTGTTGCAGTGCCTGCCCTCCAGGACAGCATACTTAATTTGGTCTTGAAATTGGCCCTGATCCTCTTTTCAGAAGACATAGTATGTCCAGAACCTAGGAGTCATAAGCTTTGCAGACTTTAACAATTAAAAATGAATGAATTAATGTGTAAATATATCTTAAAGAACAAGTAAGAGTCAATTTGATAGTGGTTATATCACCAGGCTAGAAACTAGGAGACCATGAGCTTTAATCCTATGTCAGACACAAAGCCAGCTCAATGACCGTGGGCCAGCCCCTCTCTCTCAGCCCTAGGGAGAAAGCATGGCAAGCCACTTCTGGAAAACCTTGCCAAGAAAACTGCATGGATTATCTAAGTAGTTGCCAGAAGTCAAAATAGACTCACAGGCACCGCCCCTGCAAAATCCCCCATCATCAATTAAAACATTTTGCTTTTCAGAAATCAAAGCATCAACAATGAAGTGCTCAGAGGTTTTCCCCAAAGAGGAATAAGTTTTTAACTGAAATAGAGCAAAATGGATCACTAAAGCTGATTTTCTTTCAGAAATAATTACATCTGATGTATGTCTCTTCCAATTCTAAAGCGAATGATATGGGTGACCAAGCTATTTTGGGGCATGAGGACTAACCGTCAGGTAATCTATGTGAGACCTTAATTTATTATGCACCAGTTTTTCCCAGATCCATGAAATTCTGTTCTAAGTGGTAGAGTATGAAGCGGCTGGAGATAACAGGTATTGTGTTATCGCAGTTAACATATTTATCTCAAGGGTACAAACTGGGGAAGACCAATCAACTACAGTATGTTAACATGGGGAGAGGAAAGGCTCTTTCTTCTCAATACAGAGAAATTTTCATTTAATTTTTAAATATGTAATTTTTTTTCTACAGTTAACTCTTTCTTTTAAAAGTTTCCATAATATATTCCTGGTCTGTATTCCTGGTCAATGACCATGGGCCAGCCCCTCTCTCTCAGCCCTACTGTTAAAAAAAAGAAAGAAAAAGAAACTCAGTGAAAACTTCCCTTAGAAAACCCAGAGGTCAGGGCTTCCGGTTCTGGTTTTCGACGCTGGCAGACATGCGGAGAGATCCCTCTCCCCACCGTCCGGTTTTTCTCCTTCCGAAGACCCTGGAAAGGGTCGAAAGTCGCCCTGGAGGGGTGACCACCATTGGGGGGGGGACTCTGGCTGGATCGCGGAGGGGCGGCAGCTTCTCCGTTTGATCTGCAGTAACTCCTCAGGACCAAAGAGGAAAAGAGCGGCCGCTCACTTAGTCGAACCAGCCGAAAGCCCAAAGCACCAACTAAGCATGAAGAAGCAACTGGAGGAGTTGGGTGAGACCCTATTTTTCCTTTTCTCCTTCCCAACTACTTTCCTGTAAAAAATTTTGAAATACCCCTTTCCCCCAGCTGAATTCCGCGGCTTTTGCTCACTCCAGGAATATAAAGCCAAGAAACACACACACACAAAAGGAACAACAAGATTAAATGACCACTTACCTGGACTTGTAATATCTGGATACCTGGGCTCCCTAAAAGCTCTGTATCTCGACAAAAACTTACTGCTTTACTTTTTTGTTAACTGGGAAAAAAAAGGGAATGTCTTTGTTTTCTCTCTTGAACGAAAAAAGCCCTATTTTGTATGTCACTGGGGACATCTAGTGGTGAGATTTGGTACAGCAAGTGGAATATTTTTTTTCTGACTGGGAGATCTCTGAGACTAAAATTTGTCCTTGACAGCAACCAAAAGATAAGAACTTGAAACAGATGGGTGGTGAAAATATTCGTTTATAGTGGAGGTGGACAGTTATTGACTCTTATTAAAAATAGCCTCCACTAAAGGACTGTAAACATTAAAGAAATGGAGGAATACCACCCACAGCCTAATGTCAAACTTATACTTGGAAAAATTCTAGAAGCTACTGAGCTAATAAATTCTAGAATGAAAGACTTTTGTGCCACTTTAAAGCCACAAAACGCAGCTTTAACCCCATTAGAGGAATCCACACTTCAAAAAGCAACAGAAGAATGAACTAATAACAAAGTGGATTTTAAAGAATGCCAGGAACAATCTACTCAGAACTTTAACACCCAAATTTTGACCTCACTTAAAGACTTTACAACTACAACAGCAACAGAAACTGAACAAAGCAATGCTAAGATGGAACTTGCAGAGGATTTACAACAATACACTGAGATTCTAGATAATTTAGATGATCCAAAAACAACTACAACATCGAACATGAATTTTCATCTACTTCAGCTAAAACCAGAAGAAGAAGACCAGCCTGAACATTAACTCAGATAGAGAGATTTAAACAATTTGGCCAACAATTCAACGACTGTGAAGGGACTGGCTTCCTTGATAGGCTGATGATTGGCTGGTCTCCCCTGTTTCAAATGATATATCCAGGAAGGAAGGGAGAGCCACTTGAGGATCTAAAAGCTTTTTTATGGAAGCCAGCTTGGCATAAAAGGAAGGCCAGAGTTAGACTTAAAAAAAATGGTTTTCTTTGTGTGATACCTAAGGGAAGAGCTTTAAACTTTATGTAATGAGCCATGGAGATTTTAAAAGATATTATTGGATTTAATAGTTAGGATCTATATCTATAAGGGAAATAAATTAGTTACTTAAATAATTGTTTTGAATTATAAATAGAAGATGGATTTAGAGGATAAAGGTTATTTTATGAGTAAGTGATGATATTAAAATGAGAATTAGAATATGATGGTGAAATAAATTAAGAATTTACTGGAATAAATAATAAGTGTATTTTAGATATGATATTATTTTGTATGAATTAAGGGAACCGTGGGCTATCCGAAACTTAAACATTATTGGACAGTAATCCAACTGGAATATTCTAATTGAAACCAGACAAAAGTTAAAAACAGGATTTGGAGATATATAATCTAAAAGTTGTTTATAAATGTTTTCAATGATTGAATTATAACTAGCAACCTACTAATTTGAATTTGGTATAATGACTAAGGGAAACAGAGAGGAAATTTTTGATGATGTAAACTGATATATGTATGGATAAGTGCGTTATTGGACAATGTATTATCCAACCACCATGTTGCTTCCTTAAATACCCGAAGGTTTGTAAAAATGGAAAATTAATAAAACTTGTTTGTTTGTTTGTTTTTAAAAAGAAAACCCCGAGGTCATCATCCCATTGTAGAAAGTGGTTAAAATCAGTTCAGTTTATTTCAGGGTAACATGAGTCATTGGTGGAAAGATAAATCAGTTAGCTGGTTGTGACTTTTCTAATGGCTTCTTTCACCTCCGTATTTCTCAAGCTATAGATTAGGGGATTCAAGATGGGTATGATTAATGTGTAAATTACGGAAAGTACCATATTAGTATCCTGTCCAGATTTATGGTTGGGATGGACATATGTAAAGGCCCCGGTTCCATAAAATGATGTTAGGTGAGAGGCACAGGTGGAGAAAGCTTTATGTTTTCCCTCCATTGAGTTGATCTTCAGGATGACAGATAAAATGCAGAGATATGAAATAATGATGGCTGAAATAGAGATCACTGCAACTGTTCCCGATGCAAAGGCAGACAGAGATTCTGAAAGGTGAGATTCAGAGCAGGAAAGCTGAAGAAGTTTAGGAATGTCACAGAAGAAATGTTTGAGGATGTTACATCTACAGTAGGATAATCTGAATATATATACGGTCTGTAGCACTGCATTTGCAACGCCAGCTGCATATGATCCTGCAATCAGACACTTGCATAGTTCTTGGGACATAAAAACAGGATATAAGAGAGGATAGCAAATAGCCATATATCGGTCAATTGCCATTACAGCCAAAATAAAGCACTCATTAGTCCCAAAGGCTGTTAACAAGCACAGCTGAACAACGCAGCCTGTGTAAGAGATGCTTTTATGATCTACCAAGAAGTTCACTAGCATCTTGGGGGCAATCACTGAGACGTAGCAGAGGTCTGTGAAGGATAAATGGAGGAGGAAAAAGTACATGGGAGTGTCAAAGTGGGAGTCAATCCTGATCAGCACAATTAGGCCAAGGCTTCCAGCCATAGTCAAAAGAAGATGGCAAGAAA